GCCACAGATTGTAGCTTCTGCCCATGAGGAGCTTGCAAGCAAATGGAGGAGACAGGTAGATACCTAAATAAGTCAGTTCTACTTAAGGCAGGTGCTAAGATAAGAGGATGCAAGATGCTATGAAGATACTAGTAGGAGGCTTCTGTCCGACCTGAAGACTTAAGTAAAGCTTCCAAAGATCTGACAACTTCTTTCCATCTCTGCTGCTATAACAGTGGTCCACACCACCATCATTTCCTACCCGGGTCTCTGCAATTGCTTCCTAACTGGTCTGCTTGCTTCCACTCTGGCCCCCATACAAGGGGCCAAGACTAGTTTTTTGTTTTGGGGGTTTTTTTGTTTGTTTGTTTGTTTTGTGTATGTGCATTTAATGTAATTCATATCTTCTATCACCCCCATATAAAACCCAGTTAAATGTATAAATGGAACTTCTAATTAAACACCAGTGGTTTCCCATAGTGTAAAATGCATGCTCCCCTCCATGGCAAACAAGCCCATGATAGATTTGGCTCCTGCCTTCTCCAGTTCACTTCATACCAATCTCCCATAGTCACTTTCCCTAGCCACCGTGACCTTATTTCAGTGCTTCATCCACAGCAAGCTTGTTCCTCTGCCTCTGGCTCTGCAGTCACCATTTTCTCTGTCAGGAAAATTCTTCCTGAGCCTTCACTTGGCCTACCCCAGTCTCTGCTCCAGCTTCACCTGCTAGAAACACCTCATTGACCAGCTTCTCTTCTCCCCAGGCTCTCTCTCCCTTTAGCCTTGTGTTCTTTCTTCTGTCATTATCTGAATTTGTGATATATCTCTTTGTCTTCTACCTCTCTACTCCAGGATGTTGGTTCCAATGAGAGCCAAAACTCTCTCTGTCGCCGAAACTGGTTTGGCTCAGTGGATAGAGCGTCGGCCTTCGGACTGGGGGGTCCCGGGTTTGATTCCGGTCAAGGGCATGTACCTGGGTTGCGGGCACATCCCCAGTGGGAGATGTGCAGGAGGCAGCTGATCGATGTTTCTCTCTCATCGATGTTTCTAACTCTCTATCTCTCTCCCTTCCTCTCTGTAAAAAATCAATAAAATATATTTAAAAAAAACAAAACAAAACAAAAACAAAAACAAAACAAAACAAAAAACTCTCTCTGTCTTCCTCTCCACTCTGTCCCAAACTCCTGGCACATAGAAACTTAATACATATTTGTTGAGTGAATGACTGAATAAAAGGTGTCTGGGATAAATGAGTAAGACTCAGCCAGTCTAAGAACAGTGGAAAAGTAGCAGAAGCATGAGTTGGCATGAGCTGTGCAGTTCAGTCTCACTAGAGAGCTGAATGTCAGCAGAGAGGGGTGGTCAGCACGTGGCTGGTGGTAAAGACAGGAATTAGCTCACAGAGGCCATTGTAAGCCATGTACTTATACTTGTACTTTATGGTTTAGAGAGAGGGACACTGTCAGATTTCTATTTGGATCAGTGTTTCTCAAAAATTTTTAATGAAGGCCCAGAAGAACTACATTTTATATTATCTGTACATTGAGATCTATCCCTAGACTTCAGAAGCCCCCTATATATTGCGTTGGCTCTGGCCCTCTTTCTCCATCTTCAGAGCCAGCAGAGGTGGGGAGAGTACTTCTTGCATTGAAGCTCTCTGCCTCCCGCCTCAACATTGTATGAATTGATGCTCTTAGACTGAGCCCATTTGGATACCTCCTGGTCCCTTAATTTTAAAGACATCTTCAAAATCCCTTTGTCATATAACCTAATATATTCATGGGGCCTGGGGATTAGGGCAGTGGTCGGCAAACTCATTAGTCAACAGAGCCAAATATCAACAGTACAACGATTGAAATTTCTTTTGAGAGCCAAATTTTTTAAACTTAAACTATATAGGTAGGTACATTGTTATTAACTTAATTAGGGTACTCCTAAGCTGGCCTTTGCTAAAAACGTCCTCAATCTGAGGGGTTGACCTCAGCGAACGTACCCCCACTTCTTCTAATGCCACTTCTTCAAAATAGACTCGCCCAGGCCAAAAACCGACTTCTGCGCATGGGCCACGAAGTTTCAATCGAACTGTACATGCGTGCCTGCACATGGTATTTTGTGGAAGAGCCACACTCAAGGGGCCAAAGAGCCGCATGTGGCTTGCGAGCCAAGGTTTGCCGACTACTGGATTAGGGCATAGACATATTTTGTGGACCATTATTCTGCCTGCCATAGGAATGTTTAGGGAGTTTTCTATAGCTTATATTCCTTGTCCCTCCCTCCCTCCCTCCCTCCCTCCCTCCCTCCCTCCCTCCCTCCCTCCTTTTCTTCCTCCCTCCTGCTTTCTTTCAGGAACCATTTATTGAGTATTCTTTCCCAATGCTAAGTGCTGGCATACAGCAGTGAGCAAGACAGTTAATGTTTCTGCTCTCATGGTGGCTTAAATTCAAACAAGTAATTACAAACAAGTAATGAAGTAAATAAACAAGGTGGTTATAGATTGTACCATGAAGGCAATGAGTAGAAAGTAGCTAGCTGGGCAAGACCACTTTGGCTGGGTGGTCAGGGAGGGGCTCTCTGAGGAAGTGACACATGAGATGAGATCTGAAGAATGTAAGTCAGTCAGCCACTGAGAACAAGGGAAAGAAACTTCTAGCAGAGGAAATGGAAAGTGCAGAGTCCCCTGGGCAGCAAAAGGCATGTCTTGTTTAACGAACAGTCAGAAGGTCAGTGTGAATGGAGCAGAGTGAGCAGGGCAACGACGTAAAGCAAATGCTGGTGACAAGGCGGGAGAGGTGAGGCCATGCAGTGGCTGAGAGATCCTGTGTGTGGTGAGGACTTTGAATTTTATTCTAAAGCATGGGGGGCCCGTTTAAGGGTTTTAAAAAGTGGTGGTGTAAGAGGTAACAGAATCTGATTTATGTGTTTATTTTATCTTATTTTTTATTATTTATTTTTTTATTTCTTTTCTCATTTATGTTTTTAAAAGGTAGTCAGCTATGTGAAAATGACTTAGAAAGGGGCAAGATGACCTATGGATGAGGACAGTGGGTGGGGAGTGAGGGAGGAGGGTGGGGTGGGAACTGGGTGGAGGGGAGTTATGGGGGGAAAAAAGAGGAACAAATGTAATAATCTGAACAATAAAGATTTAATTAATAAAAAAAATAAAGGGGCAAGATGGAGTTGAGAGATACTTTAAGGGGCTACTTCAGTCATCTATGGGAGAGATGACAGTGGTTGGGATTAGAGTGAGGATGGTAGAAAAGGAGAGAAGTGAATGATCTGTGATATACTTTGGAGGTAAAATTGATAAGACTTAGTAATGGTTTGGTTGTAGGGGATGAAAAAGAGAATGGAATCAAGGATGACTTCTAGGTTTTTGAGCAACTTAGGGATAAAAATGTTGTTCACTGAGATAGAAAAGGCTGGGTCTGGAAGAACCAGTTTGGAGAAGGGAGCATGTTAATATTGAGTAGTCTGCTGGACATCCAGGAAGTGATTCCAAGGAGACAGACATGTGAGACTGGAGCTCAGGGAGAAGTAGAGTTGAAGGTACGCATCTCAGAGCCCTAACCGGTTTGGCTCAGTGGATAGAGCGTCGGCCTGCAGACTCAAGGGTCCCAGGTTCGATTCTGGTCAAGGGCATGTACCTTGGTTACGGGCACATCCCCAGTAGGGAGTGTGCAGGAGGCAGCTGATTGATGTTTCTCTCTCGTCTATGTTTCTAACTCTCTATCCCTCTCCCTTCCTCTCTGTAAAAAATCAATAAAATATATTTTAAAAAAAAGATACGCATCTCAGAGTTGTTAGCATACAGATGATCTCTAGAGCCAGGTGATCAGATGAGATCTCCCGGGAGAAAGTAGAAATGGAGAAAAAATAATGCATTAGGTGAGCTGAGATCTTCCAAGGATTAAATGTCAGGAGGAGACAGAATTGCAACCGGCAAAGACTATAGAAAAGATAGTGATATTATTTGGGGCTACCCTGAGTGTGACTAGGCGTTAAAGGAGCAAGTAGGCATAGGGAAGCCCATTAGGGCAAGACTGTTGTGTCTAGCAGTTAACACTGTGGCTGGCATCATTGAATGAAGAAGTGAATTTTTCTGAGGCTCCATAGCATGCTCTGGCACGTTTCTAGGTACGGGGATAAGAAGTGAACATTTGGAATGGCTGTTTCCCAGTGGCCTGACATCAGGGAACTTTCCATCTTACTTTGCGAAAGCCCACTTTTAATAGAATTTAGATAATTTGCTAATGACTAGTAGAGCCATTCCTTAGATTTACATTTGGAAACAATCAGAAATCACCAGCTTGGATTTTCCAAACCATTCAAGATGAAAATACTCCGTAAAATAGTAATATATGAACAAGCAAACACACAAGTAAAATTGAACTTTTATAGAAAAACTCAACAACCTTCTTTAGAACCCATTGACTTTTTTCCCTACTGTCAAAGAGATCAATCTTTTACAAAGTTCCAGGCTATGTGTGTGTGCGGGGGGGGGGGGGGGGCGGCGGGGGGAGCGGGCATTAGGAGCGGGCATTATGAGCTACTTTTAATCTCTTACTTCCAGAAGTAGGTGTCTAGGTCAGAAATTCTCATTAGTCTTGGAATTTCACACTATTGTGTTTGACTGTGATGAGGCAACATGTTTGGAAGAAAAAAAATGTGTAGGATTGAGGCTTAGAAAGTTAAATGACTTGCCAATAGTCTCAAAGTATTTACACCCAGTTCTAAAGGACTCCAAAAGCCATGGCTCTTCTCCCACCCTTTGCTGACCCCAAGAAACTTAAATGACGTGGGGGTTAGAGATGACTAAGATTTTTCAATTTACTAGTTTTAAAGATACACTTCATTATTAAAAAATAACAAGCAAAATCTTAACAATATGGAGAAAATTAAAGGGGCATTTTAAGCACTTCTAAATGATGTTGGTTCTGGTATTTTTTAAATGTGTTTAACATGAATGTATCTGTCTTCTTTTACAGGAAAAATATAGAGGTGTATTCCAGAGGTGACAGTTCATGGCACATACAGTTAGAGCATGCTATTTGGCACTTATTTTTGTCATCATGTCGCCATTGGTTCAAACAACAATAGGTAAGATATTTCTGTAATCTATCTGTGGAAGGATTTGTGGTTTAAATTCTCAGTTACAGATTAAAAATATGCACTTGTGGTAAATGTTCTGGTAGTTGGTCTTTTGTAGTCAATCTACCATGTAAGTGGATAATCTGGTTCTATGTATGTAACTAACATGTATTTTATTTAATTTGTATTAATGATTAAAAGTTCAGTGATAACATTTCCTCTTGAAAATGGCTAGGTAGCCAAGCTCAGCATCATGAACGAATGTTTTACATTTTAATGTATGAGAGGCCCAGTACACTAAATTTGTGCATGGGGTGGGAGATCCCTCAGCCTTGCCTGCACCTTCTCCAATCCAGGACCCCTTGGGGGATGTCTGACTGCTTGTTTAGGCCCGATCCCTGCAGGATTGGTCCTAAACTAGCAATGGGACATCCATCTCACAATCTGGGACTACTGGCGACTCCTAACCGCTCACCTGCCTGTTTGCTTGATTGCTCCTAATCACTCTGCCTGCCTGCCTGATCGCCCCTAACTGCCTCTACCTACCTTGCTGATCGCCCCTAACCTCTCTGCCTGCCTGCCTGCTCACCGCTAACCACCTCTGCATGCCTGCCTGATCACCCCTATTTGTTCCCCTGCCGGCCTGATGACCCCTAACTGCTCTCCCCTGCTGGCCTGATCGCCCCTAACTGCTCTCCCTTGCCAGCCTGATCACCTCTAACTGCCTCTGCCCTGGCCCCCATCACCATGGCTTTGTCTGGAAGGACATCCAGAAGATGTCTGGAATCTATTAGTATAGATTCTAAAAGGGTATTTATGGTTGAAGTCAGCTATTTTTTAAAAGTGGTGGCTGGCATTTTCTTTGCTTCTTTCTATTGGGAGCTTATTTTTTACTTTCTGGCCTATTAGGATCAAAGAATATCAAACAAGCAGAAAACAAACATAACTAAGATAAGAGAAAGATGTAGTTTTAGTTCTGAAAATAGAAGTGAGAACTTTTTATTTTAAAAGAATTTTCAGTACTTCCTTTATTTGATTTAAATAACATGTTTTTTTACATCAATTTCTATTTATGGTAGTTGATCCAAGAAATCTTACAATTACCTCCCCTGCCAAAAATAAAAAAATAAATAAAAGACTTTCAGTGAATATTTTATATCACATCTAAAAATTCAGGGTGAATCTATAATTCTGAGGGTTTGTTTTTTTTAATTGGCAATTACTAAGTACCACCAAAAACTGTTAATTCTGAATAGTTGTCATATTTATTTATACAAAAACTTCAGTAATAAGAATGACCTCTCTTTTAAATAAGAGTTTAATGTGGTAACTGACATATAGTAAATAATATGGAGAACTCTTTTTTTATATTAGCTGTATTGGGTAATGGTTCATCTAGTTCAAGGTCTTACATCTTGAAGGAATATCAAAATATGGCATGGTAAGAGCTAATTTCTATCTTTGTTGCCAACTACAAATACACCAGAGCCCCTGAATATTTTCTGTTATAAAATAATGTTATAGATTACACACACTTTATACCACTAATATAATAAAAGAGGGAACTATTCCAAAATCTGTCCCTAAAGTTTGTAATAGCCTTTTAAAATTGTCTCTTTTTGGAAGGAGTATTTAAGTAAGCATCATAAATCATAAATGGGAATGGAAACCAATGTGATTTATTCTGGGAAGTACTTTTTAGTAGTCTGGTGAATAATTTACATACAGAGAGATTGGCTTTTCCTGGAACTGTGTTCTTGAATGTTCTTCCAACCCCATTTTCTCACCACTTTCCTATTTATAGTTCTGGTTCTAATATTACTGTTTTGAGAGGAATGCGTGTTTTAATTCAGTTAGACTTTAATATGGTGGCCTTCTGTTCTCATTGTGCATCACCAATACAGCCGGAGCAATGGAGGTTATTTATATTTCCAGGATTTGGTGGGGTTCCTTTTGCCCTGCATTTGGGGAATTAATGAACCCTCCATTTTGGAATGGGTTGCTTATATGCCAACGAAAGTATTGCGTTTTGTGTCTCACAGCAGATGTGTGCAAGAGAGGAGATGTGACTGTGGAGCCTTCCCGTGTCCTTCCACTTGGATCTGCTGTCAATATTTCATGCTCTTTAAAGCCCAAGCAAGGCTGCTCTCCATATTCCAATTTGAACAGGTTAAGCCTCTACAAGTTTCACCAAAAAATAAAGTTCCAGCTTGGCCACTCCCTCAGTTCGCAGGTCTCAGGTCTTCCTCTGGGCACAACAGTGTTTGTCTGCAAACTGGCCTGCGGCAGTAGTGAGGAGATCCAGATTTGTGGGGCAGAGATCTCAGTTGGTGGTGAGCATTCCATTCTGAATTCCTAAAAATTGGTGATCGTTTGGTATTTGTCCTGTGTTAAGCAGAAAGCCCAGTATAGGACTGTGTTCTTTCTTCTCCCACCATGTGGACATATCTTATCTTGATACTAACATGAGTACCTCAATGTGAGAAGTCCAGAAATCTATGAAATTGGGGTCTCATTTCGTAAGGCTCTATTTTTCTCTCTCTCTTCTTCCTTCTCTCTGTCCTTCTCCCCCTTCCCCTTTTTGCCCATTAACACCATTTACCTGTTGTCCTTGGACGCCAATGGCAGGAAAATGGATCTCTGCAATCTTCATGCCTTCTTGACTTGGAGAATTTGTTCAAAACTACAACCTCCTAAAAAGAAGAAAGAGATGTCTCTTTGGACTTAAGCAGCCCAGGCTGCCTACCCAAGGCTGAACACTTCTCCTCTCTCTAACTAAAAATAGTTCTTCCATCCATAGTCACTCCTGACCACTGATCATCATACTTAGCAGAGGTTAAAAGAAAACTATCATTATATTTATCTTTTCTTGAAAATTGCCTAGGGTAAACCTGACATGCTAACACTCCCTAGGTGGGGGGAGAGTTGTATAGTTCCAGGGAAGCAAGAGTAAGGGAGCCAGGAAGGTAGCAAAGCAAACACAAGGTGGTTAAGTTACTGAGCTGGTCACAGAGGCATCAGAAAATACAGCTGGTTGCTTGGTCACTAGGAACATCCCCAGAAAGAACATATGGAAATGCAATGACAGGAGAAAGAGAGAAGAATTTAACTGTCTGCCTTTGGTCAGAGCATCAACTGCCCCTTACTGCTGGCTTACACAGCTGGTCCCTCCAGGCAGCTGCTGGGAATAAGAGCTAAGATGTCACAGTTGGCATCTGTAGCATGAGCCACAGTGCACGGAGTGAGCCAGCAGAAGACCTGCCTGCAGCTTGCAGTCTGAAGCCTGCAGCCTTAAAGGCCCAGCCAGACAAACCAGTGAGCACACATGGGTCCTAAGAGATCCCGTGGTGCTTTGTGCCCCTGTGGTTCCAGGGAAGGTCCAGAGTAGCAGGTGAGAGGCATGAAGAGAGTAGGAGCAATTGCTACAGCAGACTGACCAAATGCAAGGACAGGGTCCCTGTCATAAAAACAGTGATAGAGACCTCAATAAGGCTCTTTCCTGCAAAGGTGAAGCCTCTTCTCTGTGACCTATAAGGATATGGTTGGTGCCAGGCAATCTTCCTGGAGGGTCACCAGAAGCATTGAGAGGAACACCAAACAATGGCCAAACAAATCACGGGGGGACAAAGAGTCATAAACTAGGTCCAGTACTCCTCTTTCAGTTCAGAGTTTCCTGTCCCCACCCTTATGGATCATGTGCTCTCAGCTCTGACAGCCTGTGGTGTCATAAGAGGAGCCTGGGCTTTGAATTCCAACCCTGCCACCAGCAATGTACCCTTTGACAATTTCAATTCTCTGAGCCTCAGTTTCTCCCTCTGCATTATGGAGATACTAACACCTATCTCATAAGATGGTTTCAGTGATTAGATGACACCTTGTATACAAAGTGCTTCATCTAGTACCAGGCACATAGGAGGTACATAGGTCATGAGTGCGGAGATTGCACATCTGTCCAGATTTACTCTCTTCTTTCCCTTAAGAGAAAGCATAAGCATTGGTTATAGACAAAATGAAAATTTTTCTAAAAAACGCCAATGGTCCTCACCTCCCTTGTCTTCAGAACTCCTGAATTTTTCACCCAGGTTATTTACCATCTTACAGACTGACATTGCATATTTGTATTAGACATTCCCAGCTCTGTGATGTCAGTTCCAGGAGTCCGCAGTGCTGCTGTGTTGTTGTTGTTGTTTTTCTTTTTGGTGGCCTAACAATGGCCTTGGAAGTCGGTATCCTTGTCGATATCCTTAGCCATTTTGTTCCATTTCCTATTTTTGCTCAGATAAATTGGAGTGCTGCAACTCCTTTTCATATTTTACTTTTCCATCCACAGTATGCATTTGTGACAGTCTGCAGCAGCAGCGGATCTAGGGAGGTGGGGAGGAGGTCTGTCAGGTGCAGCTCAGTTGGGTGGTGCTGCCTGCCTGCCGGAATGTTGCTTGTGCAACGCGCTCAAGGCGTAACCACACCATGAAATGGCTGCTCTTTGAGCAAGTTTAACACCTTTGAGGTCAAGGACTGACTGGAAGCAACACCTTTTTCTGAATATAGCTAGTCATTCCAGGAAAAGACACAGTGAATGTTGGTTTCACCCAGTGTAGTAAGAGTAACCCTACCTAGTGAGAGAGTAAGCAGCCTAGCCCATGGAAACTACTCAGTGTCTATTTAAGTCATTAATTTATAAATGTCCATAAAGGATGTACTCCAAGTAAAGCTGCAGAAATTAGATTTAGATGGTACAGCTCAGAAGGACATGAGTAGGGCCAATGGATAGAAATGTCTTGGCAGTACATTTCAGGTTCAGTGGAGAAAAAGAGCCCCCGATGTTTAAGGATTTGTAATATTAAGTGGACTTTATTCTGGAAAGGTAAACTCATCGTCACTGGCGCCATGGAGGCAGCATTGGGTGTTCACCTGCCAGGGAGAACAGTAAAATGTGGTGAAAGGCTTGGACATAAGTCAGCCACTCCTAGGCTGGAGCCCTGCTTCGGCCACTTCATAGATTTGTAATCTTTGGCAAGATACCTAACCTCTAAGTCTTAGTTTCCTCTTCAATAAAGTGAGGATAATAATAGTATGTACATAATGTAGCTGCTGTGACGTCTACTTGAGAAAAACCGCACATAAAACACTTAGCATAGGACTTGGCATATAGTAAGTGTTTGCTATTGTTAGTAGAAGAAATTCATGCCTCGGAGGCAAATTTGAACTTGATGGGATCTAACATAGCTACCAGCTTGTCTGGGATGGGATATATAAAGGATTGTTATCTTGTTGACAAATAATAATAATGTGATTGAATTATCACTTGTGTGGCATTTCAAATATATGGCTTTGCTCTTTATTTTTAAAGTTGTTCCAGAACAGCCTCAAAACTTATCATGCACACAGAAGGGAGAACGTGGGACTGTGGCCTGCACCTGGGACAGAGGACGGGACACCCACCTACCTACTGCGTATACTTTACAGTGAGTGACTGTTCTTGCAGGTTTTTGTGGGTCTCTGTATGACATTTAGAAGTACCTAATAGTTCTAGTTTAACCAGTGAGAAGAAGCAATAGACAGCTCTAGATCATTAGATGTTTTTTTAAAAAATGCTAGCTTTCATAAATTAAAACTGGTTCATTCATCTAAAGTGTGGGAACTGATGCATGGGTATGAGGTCTAACTCAGAGTTCTCTTCAGGGCATCCAAGGCCAGTTTTTTGCACATTCTTCCCTGCTCTAGGAGGGTTAAACTGGCTGCTTTATGTACCTTTTTTCGCAGACTCTTGTGGTCATGATATATAAATAGACTCTTCCTTGTGGAGCTTTCCATCAGCCTGGGAGAGTTTCTCTTCGAAGCACCTTTGCCTGACCTGCACGAGCGTCCACAGAGAGCGTCTGGGAGTTTCTGTTTCTTGCAGTTGATTCTATAATCCCATCCAAAGATCCCGCTGGGTTGCACTGTGCCCAAGTGAACAGCAGATGGGGAAAGGAAGTGGGCCCCAGGGTTCTGGTCTGTACTAGAAACTGGCACTTCTGTGCAGTAAATGCCAAGGTGGACCATGGATCCTTTGGATCTGACCTAAGGAACCAAGACATCAGAAAGGGTTTGGGGAATTCAGGCAGTGTAGGGATGCTTACTCATCTCTATGAATGTCAAAAAAAAAAAAATATCTCAGTCCTACCAAAGAAAGGGAGAGGGGGAAGTATGGTCCTATTTAGGACCATAGAATACAAACATTTCCATAGTGTACCCTCTAGTAATAAGACTGACCCTAAAAATATGTCTAGAATTTTAAATATTTGAAAGTTTCGTTCTTTTGTGTTAAAAGGGGGAAGTAGCACACAACGTATCCTGCTAAACACAGATGTCTCTTATTCACAGGTTAAATGGACCAAAAAATTTAACTTGGCAGAAGACATGTAATGATTATTACTGTGACCATTTGGACCTTGGAATCAACCTAACCCTGGAATCACCTGAATCCAGTTACACAGCCAGGGTTACTACCATCAGTGATCTTGGAAATGCTTCTTCATTTCCATCCACATTCACATTCTTGGACATAGGTACATTTTATTTCACTTTTTGTAGGTGTCATACGTTGGCACATGAACATTATTTCAAAAATCACTTGAATGTCCTATATGTGATTGTTTCAAAAGAGGCAGTGGTTGATGGAAAGTGACCAACAAGCATAGGCATAGGATAAACATTACTTGGATGCAGGTAAAAGGGTGCATGATCCTGGAGCTATATAGAGATGGTTGTATAAAAGTCAACATTATTCTCTATATTGGACAAACAGGAGCCCCTGGTTTCAATCCCACGAAGGCACCAGCTGCCAGTAATACTATCTGTCTGAGAGAGGGTCCTGTGAGGTTATCTCAAGAAGCTCAGTGTAGGCCATTCTTGGTAGAGATGTCTTTTTACCCCCATGGCTGTTCCACTCTTCTGAGTTAGGCTACATGTAGGCCTGCTGGTCTGGAGCAGCTGGTGCAAACTATAAATAAAATGGATCAAGGTTTATGTGCACCTCGATCTGTGAGTACTTACCTCTGCTCCTCTCAGCGTGGTTGCTGGAATGAGCCAGTCCCAGCACATTTCTGAGCAAATATAATTGGCCCAGATGAATCAAAGACCAATCCCAGGCATTCCCAGATTCTGCCCATCCCAGGTAGAACTGGGTTTCTGGCCTGCCTGAAGTCCCAGCCTCACACTATGTGTTTCTCTTCTCTCTTCCCACAGCACCTCTTTGCATACACACTGCTAACTATAAGTCTGAACATAGGCATTTGATATGCATTTTCCTATCACACTTCTCCCCATCTACTTTGCATCTCTTTACATAGGCATCTCTAAGCCACCTTCTTCCCTCTTATTCTTTTCTTCTGTTCCCCTGTTCTTATATCTCCTTCTTGTGACTTTTCTACCAACATTTCTTCTGTTCCTGAGGGGATCACCTCTAGCCACCTCTAACTCAGCATTGGGTTTGTTTTTTTTAAAATCATTGAATTAAGTGGAGTCAACACTATCGTTGCTGTCGGTGGTAGTTTATTTGGTAAAAATGAGGGCAGATTAAGAGGAATTATTTTAAGGATTTAGAAGTGAATCAAACTTTTTCTTCTTTCTAAAAGCCAGGGACTTCTCTCTTGTTTATTTCACCAAATTGGGTGGTCATGCATCTTAGAGATGAATTTTGTTCAACTCTTTATAGCTCATGTTAATACATAAGACAATTTCTGATTGTGGAGCCTGAATCACACCTTTTTGTTTATCCTGTTTACCAGTGAGGCCTCTTCCTCCGTGGGACATCAGAATCAAATGTGCAAATGATTCTGTGAGCAGGTGTACTCTTCAGTGGAGAGATGAGGGGATGGTGCTGTTTAATCGACTCAGATATCGGCCCAGTAGCAGCAGGTCCTGGAATATGGTAATGGTTTTGGAGTGAAGGGGGAAAACAGACCTCTGTCTTTTCATACCAGCAAAATATGTAGTTTAAAGTATATACTTGAGTTATACCAGAAAGCCAGATATACCTCTATTTATGAAGAAATATCTTGAATTCTGATCACTGATTTTTTTAAGTTACAAGCTTCTGTAGACCAGTATTAATTTTCCATATTTTGTGTCTAATAAAGGGCTCATTTCTCCTTGAGTTTTTTTTTAACCCCTGCCCTATTATTACTTTTTAGTAATTTTTTAACATATTGGAAACAGAAATATTAGGGTCTGTCCACAGAAGTTTATGTGGAATTTAATATTCCAAAGATAAAGCCCCACACTTTGATATATTAGGCATTATTTTTTTTACAATAAAAAGTATAGGATTATAATTTCTTCCAACAGTATTATTTCAGTGTATTCAATAACCCAGCCATTGATATATCTTCTCATTGAATAACAGATCTGAAAAAAAAAATGAGTTACCTGGTCTAGTTTTTTACCTTTTTGTTAAAATTCTTTAAATTAATAGAGTATTAATATGCACCTTAAAAATCTTGTCTGTTTGAAGGTTAATACTACAAATGCCAAAGGAAGACATGATTTGTTGGATCTGAAACCATTCACAGATTATGAATTTCAGGTTTCCTCTAAACTACATCTTTATAAAGGCAGTTGGAGTGACTGGAGTGAATCATTGAGAATGCAAACACCAGAAGAAGGTATGTGTCAAAAAAAACCCCCCCAAAACAGGAATGGGGTGGGGTGGGGGTAGAGAGAAAGGATGGAGGGAAAGAAGATGATGCAGTGATTTCCTTGGAATAGAATCGCTAAAGTACTGATACTGAGTCAAAGAGTATGATTGCATTAATTAACAAGTTAATTTCCACATGAACTTAAGTTCTGAAACTGTCAGAGAGATCTGTTTATATTGCTAGGAAATATTTAACATTAGGTAAGTCCTACTTCTGTTTGGCACATGTCATGTTGGTGACAAGCTTAAGCCTCAGTAATCTTTGGTTATAACTTCCTATTTTTATTGCACTTATTATTTTTTTACTTACCATCTCAGTAATTCTCTCTCTCTTAAGTTACAGAGCTAAACCAGTAATTAATTTCATTCTTTCATAGTTAAATCTTGATTCAGTTTACTGTTTGGATTCTATGAAAATGAATTTGGCTCTGTGAGCCACTAAAAGCTTGAAAGAAGGAGGATTCTGGACACATAATATTTTAAAGTAAAATTTAACATCCAGCCATCTTTCTCCTTCAAATACTGCAGCATTGCACTTCTTCCAGGCTTTGACTCCCTGCTCAGATGAGTGCCAGCAGACTGTCCATAGCTATGAAAAGGATATCAAATGTATTTTTCAGTCTTATGGGCTTTTATATTTGGTAATCATTGGGAAGGTAATTTTACTGAAGTATAATAAAAATATTTTATTAGAGCAAAAATGCTTATATGAGCATTATTTCAGTAATTAACAAATCTTGGGAAACAAAAGAAATAGCCACCTGAATATTAGTATTCAAAAGCTCTCAATTAGTTATATAGCATGGACTTTTCATAATTTGTGTACATTTGGCTCAGGAAAAATTATTAGCATATAATACATTGCTTTATTATCTTGAGGTTTTGTAATATTAATACTTACTTGTGGAAACTTATGGATCTGTGTGCATATGAACTAACCTTGTGATTAAGTTACATTCATTTTCTGTGAGCTAGTAGTGGCTTTTGGTAATTGATGACACTTATCAATGATTCTTCAATGACATTCAAGCACCTAAAGGACCTATTAATAAAATATAATTCCTGAAATAATTGTATATTCTTCCCCTCTTCTTGTATGAATCGCATTACTTCTATTTTAAAAAAATGTTTAAAAATGAAATCATTCAACAAATTAGAATTTATTTCCTCTCATTTCATAATAAAAATCTCGTAAATTAAATCTCATTGATCCACTTGCTATCTGCTTAAATGCTTGCCATTTTCATAATCCAGAGCCTATTTTTATTATCCTTGTATTACACATAGTCAAAGTAATGAATTTTTTAAAAATATATTTTATTGATTTTTTACAGAGAGGAAGGGAGAGGGACAGAGAACTAGAAACATGGATGAGAGAGAAACATCGATCAGCTGCCTCCCGCACACCCCTCACTGGGGATGTGCCCGCAACCAAGGTACATGCCCTTGACCGGAATCGAACCTGGGGCCCCTCAGTCCGAAGGCCGACGCTCTATCCACTGAGCCAAACCGGTCAGGGCGTAATGAATTTTTTAAAAGTACTTCATGGAGTTGATTTTATTTATACACAGTACAGATAAAATTCTTGAAAATGGGCCATATTTTCTAAGTTCAAGGTAGCAAATATTTGTTATATTACATGAGTCTAAACTATAAACAAAGGAAACTTTGGATTTGTGAATTCTTGTCATTCTTACTCACCTTTGGTAATGACCTGTTAAAAGGGTTTTCTTTTCTTGTAAGTGTTTATCTGTTGAATTAAAAACCCTTCAAGGTAGGACAGTAGTAACTTTCTCATGTCTTATAAAATAAACCACTATCATAACAATGAGTGCAGCAACTTGTTATGGTTAAGAATTTGTGGATGGTTGTGAATTGAACCAAGAATGCTGGCTCTTTCAGAGTAATTGCAGGCATTCATAAAGAGAGAAACCCATACTCTGAGATATACCACGGTTACCAAGCTCTGTTGGCTTCCTTTCAGTGTCTGAATCTCCCTTTATGGTGTTTGATCTTTTTGTGGGTTGTTGTAGGATTTCTTTTCTCTTACTCTAAGCTGCATGGTTTTCACCTTTTACCACTATTTCTGTCATCAGTTTCTTTATGAAACACTAACTGATGTAAACCTAAAAGGTGTGAAATTTTTTTAACACGCCTTCCTTTTAACCCTTTAAATATAGACTCATATGTAACTTGGCATTTAAAAAAATTACTAGTAAGCTTTTTTTTTAAATGTCACTCTAAAACCAAATAATACTTTGCTACCAAAACTGAGAGCAAAATGTTGTCTCCTGGTGGATTGGGCACAGTTATTTATATCATACTAGAGGCCTGTTGCACCAAGAGATTCGTGCAATAGGCCTTCCCTTCCCTAGGCTGCTGGCACCAGTTTTCCTCTGACACCCGGGACCCAGGCCTTCGCTCTGGCTGGGCTCCGGCCAGAAACCCCCACCACCCCCGCGCCAGCCGTCAGGCCTCACGGCTCCACTGATCCTGGGGGCGTGAGGCCTCGAGGCTCCGCTCATCCTGGGGCTGTGAGGCCTCGCTGCTCCGCCGGCTTTGGGGCTTTGGGTACTTTTCGCTTCACTCCACCCCTTGGAGCCTACGTATGCAAATTAACCACCATCTTTGTTGGCGGTTAATTTGCATATCACCCTGATTAGCCCATGGGAAGCGTAGCGAAGGTACAGTCAATTACTCTTTTTGTCTTTTATTAGATAGGAGGATCAGCAGGAAATGAGGTCGTTATTTATTCCATATAGCCTTTTCCTATGTCATTAAATTTAACTCCAGTAATGGTCCTCCATGAGAAACACTTTTCAAATGACCGCTAAGTAAGGGGTAGGAGGAAAGAAACCACTTTCTGTGTCCCACAATCATCCATCAAAGGCAGGATTGATACTGGGAATTGAGCAACCCTATTTTGTGTCTAGTGGGAAAACACTTTGAGTTTGGGCTGCATGGGGTCCAGAAAGGCCTGAGAATAATATGCTCAAGTGTTGGGGGGAAGTGATCCTTCACCACTCAGAACACCCAGGAGGAATTTTATATCATTTTCATGTCACTGAAAATGATTTTTTAAAATTTGTTTTCAACCATTTAAAAATATAAAAACCATTATTATTAGTTCACAGGCTGTACAAAACAGGGAATATGCCAGATTTGGTCCATGGGCCATAGTTTGCTGAGTCCTAAACTAGCTCAACTTGAAAGTTTCATACTTGTGCCTTCTTGCTTAAAACTTGAGGAAATGAGAATGAATGGCTTTTTACCTTCTAAAGGGACTTACACGCAAACATTTTCATTAGAAAGAAAATGTTTTGTTTGAGATCCAATGCCAGTCCCTACCCTTTTGTCTTCTTTTGGTCTCCTTTAAGCCCAACATGTACCCTGGAAGAAGTGAATGCAGGCACAGCAGATGATAACATCTGCAGGCAAGAACCTATCACTGAGGATTTGTTTAATCAAGTAGGCACTTGTAAGTTCTATTTGAATTGAATTGTTTGAAACTAAATTTTAGATAAATTAGATAAATGTAGCACAGCCTAAAGAGTGGACATCATGAAACCAAGGCAGTGAATGACTTATCTCTCTTGCCCTGCTTAGAGCATGACTTGGATCAAAAAAATTTTGTGCATTTCACTTAGTCCACTACCTGAAAGTTGAGATATGTCTTTTCTATATTTACTGTTTGTCAATTCTCTATTTTCACTGTTCTTGGAGATCTTGATTCTTCTCTTCACTGCTTGCTAAAACCTCTGTGGTGGAACGGCTTTCCACCCGATTCAGTTGCTATTGTCCCCAGCCCTGCACTACCTTGGCTTCAGATATAGATGCTGAGCTGAGAGAAACAATGGCTTGGCTCTGATTTGGTTGCCACACATACAGTTTCATAGAACCCTAGAATCCTGGGATTTGAGAGTTGAAAGAATACTTGAGGTCATTTAGGCCAACCTCCTGCTTAATTTAGGATCTTTTTTTTTTCATATTGGTGACTCTAGTTAACCCTACTATTTTCCCCTTTATATTGGAGCTAGTTTTATCTCAGGAAAGCTGACTTCCATTTCACAATATTTGTATATTTAATCATTTGTACCCATTTGGGTTTTTTTTAAGGTTAATAATTGTTAACAATCATTTGTTTATTGATTGATTGATTTCAAAGAGAAAGGAAGAGGGAGAGAGAGCTAGAAACATCAAAAATGAGAGAGAATCATTGATTGGCTGCCTCCTGCACACCCCCCACTGGGGATCAAGCCTGCAACCTGGGCAGGTACCCTGACCGGCAATCGAACTCGGGACCCTTCAGTCCACAGGTGGACACTCTATCCACTGAGCCAAACCAGCCAGGGCTGTACCCATTTGTTTTGAAATCACTTTGACATATGGGCCTTCGACTTTCCTCTTCCCACCTGCCTATAATATCTTTAATATGTCTTTTGCTAGATGACACTGTGGTTAGAATTTTAAGTGATTTTGTGAAAGTTGACTATCAGAGATTCTCTTTAATATTAGCCCTTACATTGCATTAAACAGTAGTGGTTTGACACCCTTGGTCATGAAATTCTACACTTTGAAATTCATACAGATTCAACTAATGATTTCTCTCCCATAGTGACTTACACTGCAGGTGGCCACCATTAAAATTTCAGTTTCACTTGCAATTTCTCCTTTGAAGAGACTATGATTCTAGAATTTGGGTTTTGGCTCTGTAATAATATGGAAGGTTGTAGATCTTTAACGAGGCAATGAGTTTTCCTTTGAATTTCTTACCAATATGTAATTAACTGAAGACATTTAGTGCTTCGGTACAAGTCACTTGGCTTTGCCACTGAGCACACCCAAGTGACCATATCCTGATTATGTGTCAATGTCCAGATTACCTGATTTGTGAAGTGTTTATATCTTTGCTCCACATAATGAGCTGTAATGGAAGAGCAGGGTCTTTGGGGACCTAGGCTCAGCTCTCAATTTTGTCATTTACCAACTCTATGTCTTTCGTAAATCATTTAACCTTTGTCAGTTGTAAAATATGAGTAATCACAGGCACCCCCTGCAATGTGTAGGATTCAGTGAGATAATGTATATAAAGTGTCCAAATATTACCTGGCACATAGTAATTTAATAAATGTCAGGTTCTCTTTTCTTCTGTTGCCTGTTCATTTTTCTCTTTGTGCATCTGGGCTAGCAGGAATAAAAGTCCTGGCTTGATTCCTGGGTTACTCTTCATAACCCTAAAGCATTGAGAGTTTCAGGATGTCTTATGCATGTATTTCTTACTGCTAAGTCCTCACTGGTGGAAAGAGGGGGAAAAGAAAAGAAGTGAATGTTTAGAAAGAAAAAAAAAAAGAAAGAAAAGAGGGCAAGAGAGGCAGGAAGAGGAAGTGACAAAGGAAGAGAATAAAACATGAAAGAGGCGCACCTACTGGGGAATGGAAGTGTTGTAGAGAAATCGTAAGCCTTCTCAGAACCAGGCAACTGCATGGTGCAGAGTGAAGATCACAGGCTCTGAAATAACACAGACCTGTGTTCAAAGCCCAGCTTCTCTGCTGTTTAGTTCTGGGACCTTGAACAACTCCTTTACCTCTCAGCACTTTAGTTTTCAAATGAAGAAAAAACATCAGCTAAGTTTTATGAGTGTTTACCATGTATCAGCACTCTGTGCATTTAAATTCTCCAACAGCCCATGTGGCGGGCAGAATTATGATCCTCACTTGACAGATGAGGAGCTGGCTTAAGGACATAGTTAACATTTGTTCAAGGTCACAGAGCTGGGATTTGCCTGTAGATGGTCTGGCTCTGGAGCTCACACTTTAACCACTGCCCTGAAGCTACCCACTTCGCGGTGGTGAGGAGGACGGGAGATCTAACTGCGGATGGGCACACCCAGGATCTGCCCATAGTATGTGCCGGTGCCTGTGCTCCCTTCCTTTCTCTCTTTCTCTTCTCTTCGTGGCTACTTGTCTTCTGTTATCCAGATGGAACTTAATTTTCTGGAAATTTCCATCTGGTTAAAAGGAACCTGCTACTCCAGAAGGAACCCTATTGTAGCCTCACCTCAGATACACTCTAAGTGTCACTGTTAAACAAGTGAGGTTGGTCCACTTACACACACACACACACACACACACACACACACACACCCTCGCACGCACCCTCCCTCTCTAATACACAGGAGTTGATTATTTCGTTTCTTTTCAAGCATGTTTGATTAACTTTCTCATATTAAATTAGGTCATATTTGACCATTGTCTTATAGATTGGTGGATAATTCTTCTATCAGTTTAGCCTGTGTTTTAGCATCAAGTAGATAATATTGCCTGCTTTGTTCATTCATCATGTAACAAAGAGTTATTGCGAGCCTATTACATTCTAAGTATGGTACTAGGTAGGAGAAATATTAAGATACATGAGATAGGCCTTCCTTTCAAGTAGATCATTGTCTAATAGTCATAAAACCAATTAATTATACTACAGCATTAGGTCAGGAATGGAGATTAACACAAAATTTATTATTTGTATTTTTTACTTTTACAGGGTCAAAAAATGTGTTCGTTACGATTTCTGTCTTTGTTTTTTGGCTGATAATTCCTTATGCATTCCAATAAAAAAGAAATAACCACAAATGTTTTGAGTTATTTTATTAATATATGTTTTAAGAGTAAGTTAGGAATCTAATTTCTTCTGCATTATTTTATTTTACTTCATTTTATTTTATTTTATTTTATTTTTTAAGGTAATTGTGAGCTTTCTATGGCCAAAGATACACATGCTCATTGTTTAACAAAAGAAGAAGAAAAATACTGGGGCACAAGAAAATTGAAAGTATCTTATAATCCTACTCTCCCAGAATCATTTATAAAATGACCCATGGACTTTTAAAGGTTTTGTAATGTATGTATATTTATATATATGAAAATATGTTCTTTCCCTTTCAAATCAGAGCCTACGGGGACATTAGATGTCTGGTACATCAGACAGAACACTGACTACAGGAGACAACAGATTTCTCTGTTCTGGAAGGTAAGTTTTCAATGTCAACTTAAAATTCAGGAGAATTGCCTATTTGTGTTTTTTGTTGTATTTTGTTCTTATTGAGCTATAAATAACATATAAAGAGGATTCTGTATTTGAACAGTATGTTTCAGGATGGAAAAGGCCCTTTTTCACACAGTGAGGCTTCAGAGACTGTTGGCGCTCATTATCTCAACCACATCTTCATGATACTCAACTCAGTGTCATTTACTTCTGCCAGATAAGGGTGGGAGCTCTGACTCCACACAATCTCATCTTTTCCTCATCCACTTCTTCATCTTTTCTCATCAAGGTCCCTTCCACCCCTATGCATGCCCACCCTCGGACCCCACTCCATCATCTCTTCTGGCTCTTGCCCCTCTATCACCCTTATCTCCTACATACAGGGTGCCCAGCAGTGACCAGGCCACCAGACTTATGCACTTTTGGGGAAATTAAAGCTGGAAATCTGTGGATGTGGATATTTAGGAATATATTTTCTATAGTCATTGAAAAGGGAGAGGGAAAGCTGCCCTACCTCAGGAACACAAATAATAGCGAAAAATAATAGGATCGGGGAGGGAAAGCAGCTCTTCCTCAGGAATAGTAGTAGAACAGCAGGACGTAGGGTAACCTTCCGGAAAACAACGTGGCTAATGTTATACAGGATGTCAAAGTTCCGCAGGGTGCTGAAAGCTGGCGCTGGCGCTTCATTTAGTCCTTACCCAAACCCTGTGAGGTAGGTGCTAGGCATCCCCACTTCACAAATATAAAAACGGGGGGTCAGAGAGAGGAAGTCCTTCCTAAAGTCACCCAGCTACTGAGTGCAGAGCTTGGATTAAAACCTGATCCAGAACGCTTTCTGCTACATCCTGACTTTTTCTTTGTTGAAAGAAAATGCTCTTTGAATTGAGCTACTAATTAGCATGCTCATAATAAGAGGTGTTCAGGTGCACTGTACTCTTCCTTTTTCCCCAAAATCTCCCCCAGATAAGAGTAAATAAACAGTTTTGGAATTATGAAGCTGGTGAGCACAAAACCAGAAAGGGTCAGAGTAAGGAATAAAAAGTCCCCTGATGGAGTTAGCATGATCGATCTGGATAGTTGCAATCTTCTTCAGATTTAAGGAATGAGCCAGGCAATCAATAAGCTCTTTACCCCTCTTTTCCGCCCCCCCCCTCTCTCTCTCTCACACACACACACACACACAATGTCTGGTAGAAGAGGGGACTACTATAAATAGCATGGTGAGTCATAATCAAGCTCTTAACTTTGAAACTAAAACCAAAGCTTAAAATTCATTTTAAAATAAAGCCATTTTGTACTAGCAAGACAATTCTCAAAGCAAGACATTTAGAGCAGTCATATCTGTGCCTATGATAGGAGAACCCAGCTCAATTCTTGGCTCGTGGTTTTCATTTTCACAAGTAAATGACTGGTTAAACCCAAAATTCCTCTTCCCATCAAGATTTCTCCTCCCAAAAGGTCTTCAACATACATATGCAAATTCTTCTCTGCTTCTCATTCTGATCTTGCCCCTAATCCTCACAAAGTAGAGGTTATAAAATGAGGTTTTGGAATTCAAAGGGACTTTAATCCTCTCCCAGTCCACCCTTCCTCTCACGGACATTGCTCCCATGTCAGGCGGGACAGACAGATGTCTCTGCTGGGACCTCCTGAGACAGGGAGCATTCCACTCTGTCTGCAGTCCATGCCAGGATGGGCATTTCCTATTGTCAGAAAATCTTCTGTAGGTGGGGCCAGAATTGTAGATGCTTGGACTGGAACTGGCTGGAATAAGAAATCAAAAATGCAAACACTGGAAGCTTCTGTAACTTGACTGTGGTAGTGACAGGGCACCCACAAAGCCTTCAGTGACCATGCAGTCTGAGAGGCTCCTTGGAAAGTTGGGTCTAGTCCTCAGTCTTGTAGGGCCATTCCTGGGCTAAGTCCTTCCCGGCTAAGTCCTTTTGTGCCAAGTCCTGGGCAGCTTCCAGGGCCCCAAATAGACCACTCACCTGAGGGTGGGAATAAAACATTGGCCAGAGTCACGAAAGTGAGCAGGCCTGCTTTGGACCACAGAACCACCGAGTCACAGGTTCTGGCACCAAAGGGAATTTAGCCAGCATGCAGTCCCACCACCCGTTTTACAAATGTGGGAATAGCCGTGGCCGGTTTGGCTCAGTGGATAGAGCATCGGCCTGCAGACGAAAGGGTCCCAGGTTCGATTCTGGTCAAGGGCTCGTACCTCGGTTGCTGGCTCCTCCTTGGCCTGGGCCCTGTTTCTCTCACATCAGTATTTCTCTGTCTTTCCCTCTCTCTTCCACTCTCTCTAAAATCAATGGAAAAATATCTTCAGGTGAGGATAAACACACACACACACCACACACCGCCCCCCCCAACACACACCACAACCGCCCGCCCCCCCCTCCCCCCACACACACACACACACGCACAAACCAAACAAAAAAAAACTGGGGGCGGGAGGGAAATGCGGGAACAGCTCTAGGGAGGTGAAATGATTTCCAATGAGAGGGCCTATGGTGCTTGTTCCAGGGAGCCTTTTCCGGGCAGAAACCACTACCCCTTCTGTCTGGACCACTCCTGTCCCACTCGTCCCACCTGGGACTCCTCATGCGCCCTCAGGCAGGCTTGGGAATTGACCCGGTGGCGCCACAACACAGGGGACTCAGACTAGAAAGGAACGCTGCAGCCAGACCAGGTGCCTTGTGGTGGGGCCCAAATTAGACTTCACTGAGGAAAGGAAGCACAGACATGCAGGCGGCGGGTTGGTTTTTTCAAACTGTGATTAATACTGGGAAACCCAATGAGGGGACACCCCACCACGGCAGCGGGGGGTTTTCGGGTGTGGGAACCAAAGGAAGCCCCAAGTAAAACCCCATTGGTCTGTGAACAAAGTGAGAGCACGTTTCTCTTGCAGTTGGGGAAATGTGAGGTGACCTTTCATTTTTGCAGGATGTTTACATTAGAGGAGAACAGCCAGGTGCTGAATGGGCACAGTCCCTGTGAGTGTGGGTGTGAACGTATGTGAGTGTGAGTAGAGGTGGGTGTGTATGTGAGTGATGCGGGTGCATGTGTGTGATATACGTGTGTGAGTACAAAGGGTATGTGTGAATGTGTGTATGAGTGCGTGTGAGTCTTTCATATGTGTGAGGGATATGAGTGGGATGTAGGCGTGGGTATGTCTATATGAGTATGTGTGTAAGTGCATGTATGTGAAGGTCTTAGTCCATTCAAGCTGCTATAACAAAATACCATAGACTGAATGGCTTATAAGAACATAAATCTATTTCTCGAAGTTCTGGAGTCTGGAAGTCCAAGGTCTGGGTGCTAGCATGGTCAGTGAAGGGTGTCCTCTGGGTTGCAGATTTTCTGTTGTGTCCCTACAAGGTAGAAGGGGCTAGGGAGCTCTGTGGGGTCTCTTTGATAAAATCATTAATCCTATTCATGAGGGCTCTATCTTCATAACATAAAGGCCCCACCTCCTGACACTGTCACCTTGGCATTAGGATTCCAATTTGGGGGACACACAAACATTCAGACCATAGCAATGAATAAGTGTGAGCGTGTGGAAGGTGTGCATGTGGGTCTGAGTGTGGGTGTGAACGTGTGTGAATTTCATCTATGTCTGTATGAATGTGAGTGTGTGTGTGAGAGTGAAGGAGACCTTTGCTTTGTTGTTCTGGTTCCCACATAATTACTTATTTTTCCAGCCCTTGGTTTCTCCTGAAAACCGCATTTCTTCAAAAATATCCTGTACTATTTTTTGCCATAGTTATTTTTAAGAGAAAAAGTATTTTCTCTGTTGAAGCCAAAAAGTACCACCTAATCCATGGAATGCCATAAAAATACCAGGTATTGTTAAAACAAAAGCAGTAACATTTAGAAACTGTTTCTCTGTCATAAACAACCTGTTTTGTGTGAGAGGCCTTCACAGGAGGCTCTTAGCAATCCTGTCCCTCAGATTCCCTCAGTCATTCTCTGTGCAAAGTTTCATACTGTTTCCTTTGCTTAGATTAAGCATTTCAGTCTGTGAGTCCAATACACTGTTCTCCAAGTTAATACAACATGTATCCTTTAAGAAGAAAAATCACCTTTTAAAAAACAATGTATTTACTATGGATATAGATATGGATATGGATGTGGATGAGGATATGGTTATGGATATGGATGCGGATATGGTTATGGATATGGAGATATATATAGATAGATAGATACATATGTAGATACAGATATAGATACATGTGTAGATATAGATAAGAGATAGGGATATAGAGATACAGATCGGTAACGTGAAAAGATGATGGACAAAGCTACATTAACCTTTGTAGTTTCCTCTGTTACTTTCTTCAGAGACCTCTCACTATCTTGATCATAACAAATTAAAAACTTTCTGAAATTATGAGGCCATGAGTCTGGAAGAAAAATATCTGTGTGTAAATGAAGCTGAATTTATTCCATTAATTCATTTAAAGAAATATATGAAAGCCAGTCTTTGGTACTGGACCCTACATGTTCTTCATGCCAGGGGTATGGAAGTGAACAAGATCAATCCTCACAGTCCAGCAGGAGGGCAGGCGGAGGAGTGGGGATGATGATGCACTCAGGCATTTAGGAGGAGTTCAGGGTTCAGCTGGGGGCGTGGTGGTTGGGCTCACACCGGAGAGCAGGGGAATGGATAAGGAGTCAGAGCAGACCTCTCAGAACATAATGCCTGGAAGAACGGGAGAGCCAGGACAAGAGGAAGCATATTTGTCTGGGGACCATAGATTCAGCATAGAAATGACGCGTCACTTCAGTGAAGGGCCATCCCATGGAAATATAAAGCAGGCCACAAATGCGAGCCAATCACGGGTAATTAAATTTTTTCTTGTAGCCAGATTTTTTAAAAGAAAAAGAAACAAGTAGAATTAATTTAAAAAGATATTTAACCCAAATATATCTGGAATAGTTTCATTTCATTATGTAATCGATACTTTTAAGTTATT